CTGAAAAGTTCTAAAGACTCTGACGCTGAGTTTTTTTCTACTTAGAAATACTGTGTTTAATTTCTAAAGTACCTACACCACCTGCAGCATTGTCTTTTTCAAGACAATGTCCAAATCAGAGCGTTCCGGCTAACTACGCAATATTGCACAATATTGCGCAATAGTTAGATATATTAGTAAACATGGTTATAGCACCAAGTTGCATTTCAATTTCCTACGTTTACTAATAATCGCCCGGAGACGACATGCTGATGATATCAATATTGTTGGGAGAACGGAAAACGCAGCACGAGAGGCGTATGTAGCACTAAAGGAAGCGGCTACAAAAATGGGTTTAATAATAAACATTAATAAAACGAAATACATGAAAGTAGGTCCACAACCACAAATATGACGGCCACTTGTTATAGAAAACGACGTCATCGAAGCAGTTCACGAATTTGTATACCTGGAACGCTCGTCAATACTGAAAATGACATTTTTTGGGCTTAATCTCCTTTTTAAATCTACAGCTATATCAAGAAATACAAAAGTAAAACTCTACAAAACAATAACACGCCTAGTCCTAACATATGGTTCAGAAACCTGGACTTTGACAAAAAGCAATGAAAACATGTTAGAATGTTTCGAAAGAAAAATACTGAGGCGAATCTATGGAGCGGTAAATGAAAATGGTGTCTGGAGAAGACGATACAACTTCGAACTCTATAGAATATACCAGGAACCAGATATCGTAAAACACATTAAGATAGGACGTCTGAGGTGGGTAGGCCATGTAATGCGGATGGAGCAAACCGACCCAGCTAGAAAAACGCTCCTTGATAAACCTATTGGTCAAAGAAGAAGAGGAAGACCCAGAACAAGATTCCTAGATAACATAGACCAAGATATGAGAAATATGGAAATACGTGCTTGGCGGAGGAAGGCGATGGATAGGGACGACTGGAAGAGAATTCTTGGGGAGGCTAGGAACCACACAGGGTTGTAAAGCCAAAATGATGATGATGATAAATCACAATAGGTGCCAAATGTATGATAATGATAATTCAAAAATACAGAAAAAATAGGACTAAGAGCTATTAGTACTAATACCAGACTGGTAATAGTCCTCGAAAATATTCATACAATATTGCAAGCAGAACTGCTAGTAATATATTTTGTGATCAAAAGTGCCTGAATAAACGCCATAATCCAGCCAAAATATTTATGACTTCATTCAACCTGCAATAAAGGCTCTAAAGTTTACAACCCATGGATCAGTAACAGCTTGGAACTCCAAATAGTTCCTTATGCAAGAGAATTGTTAAAAATAAAACTACTAATAGTTTTCCTAAAGAACGAGCTAATACTCCTGTAATAGCACCAAAGACATTCTGCGGTGTACCAAAACCCCATATCGAATGATACAAATGTGACCCACGACAGAAAAGAATTTAAACCTAGAATAACCATAATAAAATTATCAATGAGCCGGATCAAATAGTGGAGAGATGGGCGGAGAATTTTGCTGATAAATTAAATATAGGCAACTGAGAAGTGACTGACATAAATGATCACAGTAGAGACGTAGACGACGAAAGGGAAAAAAATAATATACCAACAAAAGAAGAAGTTGCCAAGGCAATAACAAGGTTAAAAAACAACAAATCCCCTGGAGAGGATGGTATACACCCTAAGCTGTCCAGGTATGGAACAAAACGCGCTAAAAAATACATAATAAAACTGTTGCATCCATTTGGAAAGAAGGAAAACTCCCATACAGTTGGAATGTAGATTATTATAACCTATTCACAAGAAAGGGGATCCACTAATATGTGACAACTATCGAGGCATTACCCTCTTAAATACGGCTTACAAAATACTGGCTTATATACTTTATAATCGTTTACTAGTATATACTGAGGAAGAAATAGGCAAATTCCAACGTGGATTCCGCAAAAGAAAGGTCAACAATTGATTAGATTTTTCCTTCTCAGACAAACCTTAGAAAAGACATATGAATTTCGAATTGATAGCCACCACCTCTTCATAGATTTTAAAAGCGCTTATGACAGTATAGACAGAAGCGCCATTTTATAATGCCATGGCAGAACTAGATATTTCGTCAAGGTATAGAACAGAGTGTCAAGATCTTTCCAAACACATACTAGACTACGCCAGGGAGACAGTCTATCGTGCCTATTGTTTAACTTCGCGCTAGAAAGAGCCATAGAGAAATCGGGCATAACAACCAGAGGTACGATCATCAATAAAAGTGTACAGATATTGGCCTACGCAGATGACATTGACATAGTAAGACGGACAAAAAAAGAGACCTGATACAGGCTTTTTAAACATTAGAAAAAGCCGCGAAGACAATGGGACTGCAGGTCAACGTATCCAAAACAAAATACATGAAGGTCACGAACAGCCCACAAATAGCGGCACCACAAGATCTGGTGACAGAAGCACACACATTTGAAGAGGTCTCGGAGTTTGTATATCTTGGAATACAACTAACTAACAGCAACCTAGTAAGCGTAAAAATTAAGAGAAGAATATACCTGGCGAACAGAGCTTACTTTGGACTAAAGCAGTTCTTAACATCACACATAATTAGCAGAAAAACCAAGATACTAATATATGAAACTCTTATTAAACCTGTCCTTACATACGCGTCAGAGACGACTATGGTAAAAAGCGACGAAGAACTGTTAGGCCGGTTTGAAAGAAAAATACTTAAGCACATATACGGAGGAGTACAAGAAAGCGGGATATGGCGCAGGCGCTACAATTTTGAGTTTTATCAATGCTATGAAAAATGCAACATCGTCCGGTCTATTAAAATTAATAGACTAAGGTGGCTAGGGCACCTTGAAAGAATGAACACTGGAGACCCCCAAAGACAGATATTTATCAGGAGCCAGTAAGAACCAGGAAGAGGGACAGCCAAGATCTAAATTTAAAACTCAAGTAGAAGATGACTTGAGGAATCTAGGTGTCAGAAATTGGAAAGCCAAGGCGAAAGATAGGGAGGAATGGTGACTAAATCTTGAACAGGCCAAGGCTCACCCAGAGTTGTAGAGCCAAAGATGATGATGAATGCCGCGAAAGTTAACCGTGATAAAATTACGTTTCCTGTGCGTAACTTAAATCAATGTGCGTGTTTAATCGCAAAAAAGTGAAATATAAACATGCTAATCGACGTTTGAAGTAACCCAGCCCATTCAAAGGAGGAAATTGAGTATGGGCCAAAACAACCGCTCCCAATAACAGGTCACGTTGGGGGATCATGCCCAACATCGGAGGACCCAAAACTTAGAGGAGGAGGACCCTTCATTCTGTTGTGCAATCGATCATCCTCTACGCTGCTTCTGTCCTTTGTAGGGTAGTTTTAACAAAGGCGTACGGGAAGTAGCTCACAAAAGTAGATAGGAAGAGTCTATCCAGGGTGGCATGTAAATACAAAACAGTCTCTGCCGAGAAGCTGGGAGTTATCACCGGGTGTATTTCGATGCACGTGCTAGTGAAGGAAAGAGGGAGAATATACGAGAAAAGAAATAAAGACATAGCAACAGAACGCTTAAAAAAGGCAGAAAGAGGCGGCCAAAATGGTGTGGCAAGAGGAGTAAGACGAGATGAGAAGGGTGGCGCAGTTTGGATTACTTCCTGACTCAGACGCAGGACATGGTTGCTTCAGGGCCTACCTTTACATATTTCGAAAGACAGAAAATGACAAATTCCTGTACTGTAAAATATCGGACACTGTCTCACACACTCTATTACAGTCTCAAGAATATAAGGCAGAATAAGAAGACGCGAGATTGAACATGAACAGGGAGGAACAGAGGGAGAGAAGAATTCAGTCGTAGTGAGAAAGTGCTAGAATGCGTGAGAATTGTGCGTGAATGAGAGATCAATTGAATGCCGTGCCGATGTTGCGTCCCAATCAGAGCGATCCGGATGTTTTTTTAGCAGGTAGGTCTCTGGCATTGATGAAAATGGTTTCCGAACAACTCCTGCGTGGGGTCTTGGATATCATCGTGGCCACGCTGGAGGAATCTTGCATAACCGAGGCTGAAAGGTGGTTCTGCCCACCTTCTAGGACCGAGGTATGTTTCGAACATTTGGACCACCCCCCCTCATTAAAGACAAAAACAAAACAGGTCGAAAGGTCAGTTAGCTAAATTCTACCCGAAGAGAGATGGAATCTCTAGAATCAAGCGAGTGGTATCGCCTGTGAGTTACAAGCTTTGTATAGTAGACACCCCTACTACTGTTGGTGTGTTCCATGTATCCGTTCTTACACACGGTAACCTTAATTATGACGAAGTTCCCATGCCTGCAGTGCCAAGATGAAGACAAGGACGCACCAGGAAGAAACCTGGATCTTCTGCTGGTCATTTTCTAATGAGTTCGATGCACAGGGGGAAGACTGTAACAAATCATAATCCCTATGGTGACGCCTATGGGGGTATGAGCCATGTGCATCAGCAGATGTTAAGTGGTCTAATATGTTTTGTGATTAAAGCACTGTTTTGTTATCCGATACACAAACTCAGATAAAACAGATACAGTATTTGTTACAGTTTAAGAGCGTTGTTTTAATAATAAAAAACACACATATGTATCCATGAATATAAATTTCTTTGAGCAGAAACCCTAAAACTCCCTAAGAAAATGTACATTCATGCCACAATGTATTTTAAATCGCAAACTCCGCAAATTTATTAGCAATTCTATTAACACAAAGTTAGTTTAACGAGTCGATGACTTTTGTTTGTTAACTTTTGACTTAAAAGGGCTATCTGCAGCTTCACCCCAACAGTTTGTTAATAATATTTGATAAACCCAACAAATTATGGTATTATACCTAATTAAATCAAACATATTAGCAGAGAAATGACACTTGACAGCATTAAATAAGTTATGGATCACACATGCAAACAGTTGTTATTATTTAATAAGTAATCAAACTTAAAAATAACCAAAGAAAAGTATATAACAAAAATGGTACCAACCTGTTCTGCAGCCAACTGTTCTCTGGCTAAACTGAAGTTGCGCCAAAGTGCTTGTGTTTGTTGTGTTTGCTGTTCCAGTTGTTCCCTCATGAGCTGTATTTCATGATGAGTAGACAGAGCACTGCCAGGTGGAGGCAAACTTCCTCCACTTTCCGCACTTCCTGTAGTTATACCGTCGCTATGTGGAGAAGAATACATCTCTCTGCGAGGTCTAAAAATATTCTTATATAAGTCGAAATACAAGTAAATATTCTGAAAAATAAATCTAGATCTTTCAACAGGTATCAATGTTTTAATTAAAAAATCGGGAAGTGTATTTTTTCAATAAAAGCCAAATAACAGTTTAAGAAGTGTTGACAGATACTTAGATTTTTGAAATGTTTAACTTCACGTTCAGTATGTAACACCAAAGCAACATAAAATACGTTAAAACAAGTTACAGTCAATTTTTATTTGTTCAATATACGTTGGACGATATAAATGTTTGCAAAAAAAAACGCGTATCACAATGTGTAAACTGCAATGTTCAAAACTTACTGGTTAGATTTCATGCAAACTTAATTTTTTGCGCTTTAAAACTCCCACGCATCTAGAGATTAAAAAAAACTACACAATAGCAATCACCTTAACTATTGTAAGTTTATGTAGTATAAAAGTTAAAAATAAATCGGTATACACATGAAGGTACAACAATTTTACATAAAAGAAAAGTTTCATACGGAATTTAAAAAAATCAATCAGCAAAAAACTAGTATACAGAGTGGCCAAAAAGTCTGGAAACGGCCAATTATCTCGTAAATTGCTAGTTATAATTGTACAAAATTTGAGGTATACCTATTTTGGGATACGGAAATTCCATATTTGATATTTGCAATGTTGCCAGATTTTGCGTTTCTCTTATATTATTAGTAACTTTGGTTTTTTAAATGCATCACCCTGTATATTTAGTAATTATTGGAATCTCCTATTCAAAACGAGTTTAACCATATGTAACACTTATTATTTTATGTAGTCTGAAAGGTCTTAAATAAATAAAACACAAGTCTGGCAACGCCTAATTGTTTCAATAAATTTTTTTATACTAATTATTTTCAACTACATTAAAACGTAACAATTGATAGATTAGACTATTTTTTAATACGTTTATGGTTACGTTATAAAGTGTTCGAAATATGCTCAATTTGTGAGTTGACAGTACCCTAATCGATGGTAGAATGCGTCTACCACATTTCTCCATGATTGTCTAGAAATTATTTGAGATTAATCGATAATTCGTCGCCTTTGCTCTGCAAGACTTGGCTGGTTAAGTTTTGTAAACTGAATTTTTCATGTATCCCTCATAAAAATAATCTTTAGGATTGAAATCGGGTGAACGTGGAGGCCATTCAATTCTACCTTGTCTACCAATTTATCGTACGGAAAATATCTCATTTAAATAACGCTGAACATTTACACCAACTATCTTACGTTAAATTTCCTTCGATACAAAATGACCCAATTGACTGAGTACCTGCTATACCTGACGATACATTTAATTTTTGTGGTCTTTGAGTATGGTTTTCACGCATTCAGTGTGAATTTGCGTCACTCTAGTACCTTAAATTGTGTCGATTTACACTTCCACAAAGTGTAAAAATTGCTTCATCGGAAAACATATCCTGTTAACGAAATTTTAATAATTTTCAATTTGATCCATCATTACCTCAGTAAACTCTAATCTAAGATCGAAGCCATCTTCACTTAATTCTTGCAATAAGTTTATTTTGTATGGTTTAAACTTATTTTTACGTAATATATGATAGACTGAAGAACGACCTACATCATGTACTTGCGCAACCCTGCCTGAGTATGTATGTGGATCTTCAACAAAACTTTTCTCTTTCCATCTGTCTTTACCTTCTTCAGATTTCTCAAATCGCTTTACAGTTTTTTGTACCGTCGCCTTATGCATATGAGAACGGTTTAGAGAACGGCATTTTAGAGAAGAAATTTAAATTGCAGAACTTTTCGAAACACAACTACTGCCAGTTTTAGTTTATAATGTAAATCATAAACAAATGTCAATATCACAGCATTCTACGTTTAAATATTTAAATTTATTAAAATCTACATATTTTGCACTGTTTTATGTATTTAAGACCTTCCAGACTACATACAATCATAAGTGTTACATATTTTTGAACTCGTATTGAATTGTTGAACTCATATGAAATTCACACTGAATGCGTGAAAACCATACCAGACCACAAAAATTAAATGCATGATCAGGTATAGTAGGTACTTAGTCAATTGGGTCATTTTTTATCGAAAGAAATTTAACGTCAGATAGTTGGTGTAAATGTTCGGCGTTATTTAGATGAGATATTTCCCGGACAATAAATTGGTAGACAAGGTAGAATTGAATGGCCTCCACGTTCACCCGATTCAATCCTAAAGATTATTTTTATTAGGGATACTTGAAAAAATTTAGTTTAAAAAACTTAACCAGCCAAGTCTTGCAGAGCAAAGGCAACGAATTATCGATTAATCTCAAATAATTTCTAGACAATCATGGAGAAATGTGGTAGACGCATTCTACCATCGATTAGGGTATTGTCTCACAAATTGAGCATATTTTGAACACTTAATAACGTAACTATTGTTAAAAAATGATCTAATCTATCAATTGTTACGTTTTAATGTAGTTGAAAATAATTAGTATAAAAAAAATTATTGAAACAATTAGGCGTTGGCAGACTTCTGTTTTAATAGGCAGTCCGGGTAATATTTCTTAAATTTTTTGGATCATTTTTAGGTTTTACTAGAGATACCCTTCTTCTTCTTCTTTAACTGCCATCTTCTCGACGAAGATTAGCAATCATCATGTCTAATATGACCTTCGAGGCAGCTGCTCTGAACAATTGCCTTGAGCTGCAACCACACCACTCTCTCAGGTTCTTCCACCAGAAAACGCGTCTTCTTCCTACGCTTCTCCTACCCTCTATTTTTCCTTGAATTATAAGTCTCAATCTGTTGAATCTTTCGAATCTCTTTAGATGTCCGAGATATTGCAATTTCCTTTCTTTTATTGTATTTTCCATTTCCTTCTCTCTGTCTATAATCCTCAACACTTCTGCATTCGTGACTCTATCTACCCATAGAATCCTTAACAATCTTCTAAATGTCCACATTTCAAAGGCGTTAAGTCGATTTATTGTATTCCGGTTTAATGTCCATTATTCAGCTCCATAGTAGAGTACACTGTGTACATAGCATTTAATTAGCCTTATTCTGAGGCCAATGCCAGATCTTTGCTGCATAAAATCTTTTTCATTTTTACAAAGTTGGCACGTGCTTTTTTATTTCTGACTCTTATCTCTGCAGTATAATCGTTATTTTCTGTGATTATCGTTCCCAATTGCAAAAGCAAGTGGGGGAATATATTAACAACCAAGTTAAGCAACTAAAAGAAGAAAATAACATCCAACGAGAAATCAATCAATTCGAAGATAAAAATAATTAAGAAAACTAAACAAGATCTGCTAAAACCAAACAAAGAAACAAAGAAGAAATCTTGGATGACTACAGAAATCCTTCACTTAATGGAACGCAGAAGGTTAATTAAAGGAAATAAAGATGAGTATAAAAAAATGCAGGTTTACATCAGAAGAAAAATAAGAGAAGCTACAGAAAAAAACGCTGTAGAGAAATGTAACGAAATATAAAGACTACAAGCCAAGCATGACAATTTTAAACAAAAAGGTAAAAGAAATAACGGGTACATTTAAAAAGCGAACACAAATGAAACTCATAGACACCAATTGAAAATTAATCATTGACACCCAAGAGATGAAAGAAAAATGGAGAATATATTTGGAGACACTTTTTCAAGATCAAAGAACGGATTATAGGCATACATTTTCAGAGAGGATGACGGGCCTGGACATACTTAAATCCCAGGTAGAAGGAGCAATAAAACGGATGAAGAGCAGGAAAGCTGTAGGGCCTGATAATATCGAAGCTGAATTTTTAAAACTCTTGGAGGAAAAAGGAATAAATTGGATCACGGCTGTCTTCAATAAAATATACAATATAGGAATCATACCTGATAAATGGCTAGAATCAGAATTCATAGCGATACCTAAAAAACAGGGGGCTAAAAAGTGCGAAGAATATCGAACAATCAGCCTAATGAGCCACATGCTGAAATTGTTTCTTAGAGTCATCCATGGAAGAATCTATAAGAAGTGCGAGGAACAAATATCGGACAGACAGTTTTCGGCTTCATTAACGCAGTTGGTACCAGAGAAGCACTTTTCGGAGTACAGGTACTGATTCAAAGATGCAGGGACGTTAACTGCGACGTATACGCTTGCTTTATCGACTATGAAAAGGCATTTGACAGAGTTCAACATCAAAAGATGATAAACAATTTAAAAGAAGCAGACCTGGATGACAAAGACCTCAGAATAATTTCAGAGAACTCTACTGGAATCAGACCTCATACATGAAAATTAACGGAGAAGAAACAGATCACATAAAAATACTACGTGGTGTTAAACAGGGATGTACCCTATCGCCGTTGATATTTAATATATGTACTCAGAGAAAATTTTTAACGAGGCTCTTTACGGAATAGACGAAGGCATCCTTCTAAATGGTGAAAGAGTAAACAATGTTAGATATGTCGATGACACCATGGTGATAGCAGATAGTTTAGAGGGGGCTAAATCATCTATTTTGAGAGTTTTGTATAAAGAATAATACCACCTTTACAAAGTTTAGTTGGTTCAGAAGTTAAATGAAGATGATCCGGACAGAAGGCAAGAATTCTCTAAAATGGTAAACAAAATAGTTTTTTCTGATGAAGCGACGTTTCATTTTAAATGGAACGGTTAACAAACAGAACTGTAGATATTAGGATATATTGGGATATATTGGAGCAAAGAACATTCTTACTGGGTATGTGAGACTCATACGTAATATTCTAAAAAAGCTAACGTTTGGTTGATATATTTAACAATATTGGTCCTTTTTTTGTGAGCACAATTGATGGTGAGGTTTATTTAGATTTTTTGATTAACTTTTTAGTGCCTACATTACGAAGATTTTTCCTGATGTTAATTATCCAAATGAGATATATCGATCTATTTACTACTAATAAGACGGAGGTCCACCGCATTTTGCACTTTTATTTAGAAATTATTTAAACGAGGTTTTTCCCAATAGGTTGAATGAAAGACGTAGAACGATCGAATGGCCGGCTAGATCCCCGATTTGACTCCTATCGATTACTTTTTATGGGGATATTTAAAATCTAAAGTATATTTTAATAGACCAAACAGTATTGCTGATTTAAAAGTTAGGTTAATGGAAAAAATTAGCAAAATAACTCTAGAGGTCGTACAAAATGTTGTACGAAAATTCCAAAATTGCCTCGGTTATTATTGTCAAGAAGTGAATGGTGGTCATTATGAACATTTAATTTTATTGTTATTTTTTATTTTTTAATATCAGATATAACATTCTTAATCTTAAAATATATCAAAAGATTAGGCATAAAAAAATTGTTTAATTAATTTATTTAGCATCTACCTCAAAAAAGGTTTAAATAACCCTTCAAAGAAATGTTCTACTAATTTTTTGAACCAGTAGTGTAGTATAATAACTTGAAATTAAATTGTGGATTTATTCGAAAATTGAGCCATAAGGCTTAGGAAACTTCAATAATACTCCAATAAACTTCTCTAATTCAATTACGATATTGAGTTGAAGTCAACGAGGGCTTATTCATGTGCTTCTACTCCTTTAAGAAAATACACACCAGATACGGTAATGTTAATTTAACCATGGATTCAAAACCCAATTTTCTTATCTTTGAAGTAAATAGAAGATTATTAAACTTTATAATCGACTTCCATAGAATGTTCAGTATTCCCTAAGAGAACATTTATTTATTAAGAAACAACAGAACTTGTTAAAAAAACTAATTCGAAACTGTATGAAGAAGGTACGGTAAAGAGCGAAAAGTCATCAAAGTTGAGACATTTTATCGTATAAAAGTTAAGCAACTCGTTTATGTCACTAACGTAATATTTGTTTCTTTATTTATTTTTTCTTGAATTAATATTTAAGTAGAAATATCAATATATCCCTGTACAGAATGATCACTCGCAGATGATTTGAAACGAAAACGACAGTGTATGTTTTCAAATAAAATTTATATTTCAACATAACTTCCTCTAATATTACTCTTCATCCAGCGGTATTCCAACGCCTTATTACTGCTTTCTGTAGTGTTTGTTTTGATGTTCCACAAAGTATTCTTTTCACGAAAAAGGTCTCTAGTTTTGAAAACAGATGGAAGTTCAAGAAAGTAAAATATGTGTAATAGTATACATGTTTATATGTATAAAACAATTTTTTTGTGGAAATTTTTAAATTTATCCATTGTCAAAAAAATTTTGTGGACAGGTGCATTGCTCTGATGTAAGAAATGATTTTTTTAAGCCGGTCTAACGTTAAAATTTTATTCTGTGTTAAAATTTTGTTTAGTCCACAGCTTTGAACTACATAAAAAGGTCAAAGAAATTTCGAGTATATACAAGAAACACCATGGGACTCACCTGAAGAATGACCAAGGAAACTACGTTCATACCCAGGAAGAACCAGCTAAAATCTGGGCAAACTATGCTTCATCCCTCTTTGGGATAAGAGACCGAATCTGCCAACTACTAGCTTACCCAGAGAAAATTTATCCGGCCATCCCATTATTCGCGCCGAGGTGGAGTACGCTATGAAAGTAGCAAAACTAGACAAGGCCTCTGGACCGGATGGAATTACTACGGAAGCCATAAAACTGTTGGAAGATGATAACATCGACATGCTGGTAACAATTTTCAATGCTATATATAACACCGCTTACATTCCAACGGATTGGCTTTATTCAACATTTATAAAGATCCCTAAATCGCAAAGAGCGACAAAATGCAAAGACCACAGACTGATAAGTTTAAGGGGCCAAAAGAGTTATTTTTATTTATATTTCTTTGACCTAGAACTTCCTTAAGATATTAGATTTAATTTTGCCCAGCTTTCTTCGACTCCATCACTTTCAGTGATATATGTGTTTCTGCTTTTTTATTCTTTTTTGGAATAGGTATCTCGTGGAGTCATCATGTAATTTTTCGACTTTTGTGGTGTATTCTGGTGTTTTTTTATCGCATATATCTATATACATATATATATATATATATATATATATATATATATATATATATATATATATAATTATATATATATAAATATATATATATGTATATATATATGTTTTCATTCGGATTTTACACAATACCAATCTATGATCGCTTTCTATTTGTGCTGATGTTAGTGCTCTTACATCCAAGATTTGAAGTATGAGATGTACTACGCAGATTACTATTTCGTGGTTTGTCCCAACCTTACAAGCAACGACATAAGTAATACTTTTTTTTTGCTTATCTTAGATAAATTAAAACGTTAAAAATCTTTTTCTATTGCATCCAGACTCACTTTTATTATGTGAGGTCTTTTATACACATGTTCCTAATCTAATTAAAACAATGTAAACATTTCTACTTACCAACATACTACTTTTATTATTGTGTGGGGGCGGAGGAAGGATATCAAGTTGGGCAGGAGTTCTAACGTTTTTACAATTCTCTAGATCCTTAAAGCTGTAATCATCTGGAGGTAGGGACATTCTATCGCTAGCACCTTCCGACATCATGTCTAAAATAAATAGGTAGAACATTAGATTATTGTATAAAATGTTATTTATTTTCAAAAATATACAAATCTAATAAAATATGAGTTTTCAACAAAAAAAAAAAACAAAACAGAACTGTAAACTGCTAAGATCATTACTATATTATCTTCTCATTGGGAGTAACCAAGAACAAATATAACCAATAAGCGTGGGTACACACAGTGCTAGTCAAAAGTCCGTTTCCTCCTCGTAGCTTTTGAACGGTTATACTTATAATAGTGAAATTTGGAGGGACGTAATAAACAGACGTAGGATTCTTAACTAGTGACAAGACAAATGACGTTACAGCGCCACTGTGACAGATAATTTTAACTAGGACCTGATGGCAAGTTATACCTCGTTTGAAATGTATTGAAAATACCTATTTGACCATATTAATGTTATTTGAGTTTGAGCTTATTATGATAAATACATTAAAT